CCTTCCCGCTCGTCCCTTGGCGCCCTCCTCACCGGCGCTGGTTCAGCCCCGCCAGGTTGCTGATCTGTGGGCAGAGGGAGAAGGGGGTAAGTCCCGGTGCCCCGTGGGGAGAGAATCACAGAACCATAGGATCGTTGAGGTTGGCAAAGCCCTTTAAGATGCCCAAGCCCAACCGTTCCCCTAACCCTAAACCCTGGCCCTAAGCCCCTCCTCTGCCTGGCTTTTAAATCCCCCCCAGGGATGGGGCAGCGATAAGGTCTCCCCTCAGCCTCCTCTTCTCCAGGCTCAACACCCACAGCTCCCCCAGACGCTCCCCAGCAGCCTGGGGCTCCACACCCCTCCCCACCTTCCTTGCCCTTCTCTGGACATGCTCCCGCCCCTCCAGGTCCTTCTGGGAGTCAGGGGCCCAACCCTGAACCCAGCATTCCAGGGGCGGCCTCACCAGTGCCCAGCACAGGGGCACGGTCACTGCCCTGCTCCTGCTGGCCACACCAGTCCTGATACAAGCCAGGATGCTGCTGGCCCTCTTGGCCACCTGGGCACACTGCTGGCTCATATTCAGCCGCCTCTCGACCAACACCCCCAGGTCCTTTTCCACCATGCAGTTTCCCAGCCCCTCTTCCCCATGCCTGTAACCTTGAGTGAGGTTGTTGTGACCCCAGGGCAGGACCCAGCCCTTGGCCTTGTTGAACCTCACACCATTGGCCTGGACCCATGGATCCAGCCTGGCCAGGTCCCTCTGCAGAGCCCTTCTCCCCTCCAGCAGATCCACACTCCCACCCAGCTCAGTGTCATCTGCAAACTGACTGAGGGTGCCCTCGATCCCCTCATCCAGATCATTGACAAAGATGTTAAACAGAACTGAGCCCTGAGAAAAACCTGAGAGGCCATGCTCCCTGCCGCACAAAGGCCCTGCCCAGCCCTGGAGGCCTCAGCGCTGGTGGGCAGAAAGGCCTCGCCCCAGAAGGGGCCGCAGGAGCAGGGGTGAAGCAGGGAGAGAGGCCCACGTGCTGGGCAGGCGGGAGGTGGGGGCAAAAGGCACCGCTTGTGGTCAGAGCACAGGAGTGAATGGAAAAGGGCTGGAGAAAGATGGTCCTAGATCCAGCTGCAGGCATCCCTCTGACCTGAACCTGCTCCCTAGGTCAGCAGGTTTCAGCTTGGGTTTATTTTTGCGGCCACAGAGACCCTGACAGTGAATTTAAGCCTTTGAGGCATTCTGCGTACTCGTCTGCTTTGCAGGGACCTGGCGAGCTCAGCACACCTGTACAGCACTCTCAGACATGGGAGTTTCGGACTGCTTGCCCCCAATAGTTAATGTACCAGGATGCTTTTGCCCTAAAACCAGCTGGCTGCAACCCACCCGCCTTCAGAAGCAGCCCAGTTCCTCCCGTTCCGCCCCACAGTGGATCCGCTGCAGGGACAGACCAAACACCTGGTAATAGGAGACATCTGGGACCCAGACTGCAGGGACGCAATCTGCCAGAGAGCATTGCGCTGGCATGCAAGAGCATGAACAGAGCATGGGGATTTCTTTAGCGGAGGATCCTTTTGGCACAGGCAGGTGTGAAAGCAAGAGAGAAGCTGAGAAATGCTAAAGATACGAAACGATTCCACCGTAACTGCAGGGGGAAGGAGGTGGGAGAAATTCTTGAGAACTGCTTCATACAGTAAAAATTATTTCTAATTTATGTTCCAGCCTGTTTGTCTTGTACTGGTAAGCACAAGGAAAATGTATTTCTGAGAACAAGGAAATCACTTTGCTGCTAAGTGCAATGGGAGTTGTCTAAAAATAGCATCACAGGGAAGCCCTGAAGCCCAGCAAAAGTCATTCCTGGGTAGGCAAAGGACTGTCTCCTACCCCAGAGGAAGTGCAGCTCCCCCTGCATGGCACAAAGCAGTCTGGGGTGCTACCGAGAAGTGAATGAATTCTTGGAAGGACGCTGTGGTCAACTGAAACAGCTTGAGGAAGTCACCCTGCTGTGGCTCAGGGACAGGCGTCCATGGGGGCACGGACCTTCCATCAAGATCTCCCACACAGGGACTGGCAGAGGAGAAGATCTTGTGACAAGCAACAGATTATTCTGATCGCCTGTCTCTCATCCCTGAAGCTCACCCTGCAGCTTCAGACTTAATTTTTTACACGCTATTACAAGTTCTTTCACCACCAGACAGTGAACTAACCCCAAACAACCCAGAAAATCATCCTTACATATAGTTAAGTTATGAAAGACAATTCTTTTTCAGGCTGTCCTCTAGATTTGGGAGGAAAAACACGCTGAGATACAGCATGGAAGGGAACAGAAACAATTCTGCCCTTACAGCCCTGATGGTTTCAGCATTACTTACAGTAACGGCAGCTCCCATCAGGCCCTGGACAACTGCTTCTCCGGTTGACTGTACCTAGGAGACACAAGGAGAACATGACCTTCTGCTTTCTTCTGCGGTTACGCTTGTGGCCACCCAACTGCAGAGGCGTAATGCACAAAAACATGTTTTTGCTATGGAAAGATGCTGACAGAAGCCAAGTGCTGCAGACAAACAACAAGCCAGAGATAAGAAACATGGAGGAGATCTCCTGGGAATGTACGTCTCCTAACCATCGGGCCAGCCTGACAAAGAGGGTGCCTACGGGTCATTTTACTAGAAAATACAGAAGCATTTATTGATGTTGAACGGACGGCGGTTATGCAATCAGCCGCCAGTACAAGGTGGTCTCTCAGTAGACGTGTGGTCTGCACGATCAAAAAGCCAGGTCTGCATATGTATTTGGGGAGAAGGGGGCCGCCACCTGTACACCTTGCCTGTAACGTTACCTGATTAGCTGTATTGCCCATGTTCATGGCATCAGCCACTCTGTTTTCCAGGAAGCGCCAAGTCTCCTCGAAGTCAGGGGATGAATCCTGCATCATCACCAGTTCGGTGGTGTTGTAGACGCCAGTGAGCACAGCCCGACGAGTGTACCAGTTAAACTGCAAGGGCATGAAAGGAGAGAGAGAGAGAGAAAGGTGTGACCTGAATGCAGATCAAGAATGCAGCTCAGGAAAGCAGACCAGAGAACGGCAAAGGAAAAGACCATACCGACAGCACATTCCTTCCCTGCCTAAACCGTGTAACTTGTCTGCGTGATGCCGTGGGCCACCAGCCAACACTGACATCTGACAGCACAGCTGCTCCCGTGGCACCAGACAGAGGTCACAAGTACGGTATCTAAAACTGCTGAGCAAAATCCCCACCACCTGCTTTGGGCTGCAAGCAGGCACCTGCAGCAGACAACAAGGAATTCTCCCTGACCCAGCCAGCCTGCGTGCATGGTGCAGGAGTTCATCTTTGCTTTACAGACTGCTAGCGGGCGATGCAAACCTCCAATTCTAGATCTGATTAATGAGGAACAGCTATATTTAGTACTGAACTTGAGCTGCAGCTCGCACCAGATACAAGCATGAAGAAAGGGAACAAACAGAGGACAGAACTGTGCAAGTCAGCACACAGAGATACACCTTTCCCAAATCCTGAAATACCAGTACTGCCTGCTGAATCACTAAATGCATCGTTGTGCTGCAGGATGCACTACAACAATTGGTTACACAATGCAAAGACGCACAAATAACTCAAACTTCAGTTTTTCCAGATGCACTTGCACCACTGGCAGACAAAATACATAAACATTTTTAAAAATGAGTCTTCAACTTCATTTGCTGCTATTACAGTGATTAAAGTGTTTGGGTACCTGGAGAAAGTACCAGTTGTTCCATTCACAATTACAAAGCAACAGCGAAATGAAAACACCAGCCTTGATTTCGAAACCAATGCTTGGCTTGAAAGCTCTACTGTCTGCACCACGACCTGCAAACTTTGACAAGGGGAGAAGCATGAGGGATGTTGCCACTTGCAGCTGGATCTCTCAGGTGCCTGAGACCAAACTGTGTTGATTCTCCTCCTGCTCTGAAAAAAGCAGCTGAGGGGGTCTCTGAGGCATGGGCATACTCCTGGTGCTGTGAAGGGGGCTCTGCTTCGAGTGAAGTTAAACCCCTTTACTGGGGAAGAGGGAGGGGGCTCAGCATCACAGCTTCCCAGCAAAACTCTTGTAACCGGTCAGAAGGTGCAAACAAAAGACAAACTTCGGAACCTCTCCTACTCTGCGTCAGCGAGGAGACTTTTAGGAACAGCTCAGTGCAGACACTGACTCCGATGTGTTGATTTGCCTTTCCTAACCCATAAGGGACTTGCTGTGACTGACGCAATCACAGTCTTTCAGTTCTTCCCTGGTTTATTCAATTTTTCTGTATTTTTTTTTATTTTTCACTGCAGTAGCTTCTCTTTTATACTCAGATAAAAGCAGCTTATTAAAGTAGTTTGTTAAAATGGTTCATCCATCTCTGCCTACATCTATATGAATTGAAGTAATTTGTTAATTGCTTTAATTAAGGTTGTAATTCTCTTTTATTCCCTGCCAGAAAGATGAAAGCTTTAATAAGCTACTGGTATTTTTAGGTAGGTTTTCAAGTAAAATCTGTAAGTGCTGCTGCTGCTGGAAGAGACAGCTGCTTCAACAGAGAGGCTGCTCGCTCGCTGAATACTGGATCAGCTGCTTAGTCTCAAAATTTCAACAATTTTGTCTGTGTCTTCAAAAAAAAAGCACTTAAAAGAGTCTAGGAAAGTAGGTCCTTTTAATTTGCACTAATCCCATTGGCACTAATTTGCATTTAGTCTCATTGG